GGGCGAAGTCAGGAATAAATTTTCTGTAGTATCCCAGAAGTCCCAGAAATTGCTTTATTTCCTTAGGTGTTTTTGGTATTGGATAATTTTTGATAGCGGCGATAGCGACAAGATATTGTCAGGATTTGGTTTAATACCATCTCTACTAATAATGTGTCCTAGATAAGCGGTTTCTAACTTCAAAAATTCGGACTTGTCCATTTGAATTTTGAAGTTAGATTCACGCAGTCTGTTAAATACTTTTTCCAAATTTATCATATGTTCTTGCAATGAAGTGCTAAAGACGATGATATCGTCCTGGTAAACTAAACAAATTTCGTTTTGCAAGCCCCTCAGCACGTTATCCATAACCCGTTGGAACGTTGATGGGGAATTTTTTAACCCCATTGGCATGCGTAAAAATTCAAAATGTCCGTGCTCGACATTGAACGCGGTTTTGGGTATGTCGCCCGGGCACATCTCAACTTGATAAAATCCTGATGCTAAATCTAGGGTACTAAAATATTGACACCTGCCAAGCTTGTCGAGGACGTCTGAAATATTTGGAATGGGATATTTATCGTTAATGGTCTTCTCGTTAAGTTTACGAAAATCTACTACTAGCCTCCACTTTTGTTTTCCGGATGCATCGACCTTTTTTGGAACTACCCATATTGGGGAACTCCAAGCGGAATCAGAAGGTCTAACTATGCCTTGATCGAGCATCTTGGTGATTTGATCTCTCACCTCCTGTCGATGTACGTACGGGTAGCGGTAGCTCTTCGTATAAACTGGTAATTCGTCTGTCGTTTTGATTTGGTGTTTGATTTTGTTAGTAAATGTCAAAGTCTCTCCCTCAATATAAAAAACGTCTGAGTATCGTCCACATAAAGTCTCTAAGTTGGCTCTTTCCTCGGCATTTAAATGTTTGGTGCGCAGTCTTGATAGCACTGCATTGACTCGATCGGGGTCTTGTTCGGTGCTCGTGCACTCGGTATTAAACACGTCGAACTGTACAGTTTTATCGAGAGTAATAACTATGTCGGAATTAGTGGGATTTTCTATTTCTATGATGCCGGTCTGATCGGTAACTGCAGTAACACATTCGTGAATAATACAGTTACATATTATTTGTTCGCGAATATACACGTCGCCGTCAGTATTATAAATTGGAACATTAACTAATCTTGTCGTATTGGCAGGAATTATTTCCTGAAACTTGGCCTTTCTGCATGTGTAGCTAGATAAGGGTATGCTTGCATGATCTGTGAGTAGGAAATTACTTTTTAAATCAATCTGAGCTCCGTCTAATAAATCTAAGCCCAGCAAACCATCAAAGTGGTTGTGAAATTTATACACAAAGAGTTTTATATCCTTTTGATAATTAAATTCCGGGAAATTAGGTACTGTAATTGAATAATCGTGTGTACTTGTTACGCGCGAATTAGTAACCTCGAAGGGGTCAAAATTCAATGGCAGTCCTGAGAAGTACCCTTTTACTGTTTCGGGGCTAATAAATGATTGATTTGCCCCGGTGTCTACTAGAAATTTGAGGGGAGGTTCAGATATCTGTATATAACGTAGCTCCCTTCTAGACTGCAAATTAACTTCTATTCTGGTTCGGGGTTGGTACGACCCTTGTGAAAACCCAATTCGTTTTGATTTTTATTAGTTGAAGGCGGGGGAGCCTCCAAGGAAAGCGTCGCCTCTGAATACTGTCCATGGTCATGGTCATACATATTATAATTTTCGGCGTCAGTTTGAGTATAATCATAACAAGTGTCATCGTAAGGGGTGTTGGTCATTTCTCCGTAGTAGTCAGGGTAGTAATATAAATCATCACTGTCCGCGGTTTCATTAAAATTCATCTCGCGGGCCATGAAATAATTATTAGGCGGTGGGTTTCCGGATTTACGCCAATCATGGCCTGTCAATCCATGCGGAAGTTGTCTAGATACGAAATGACTTACACCACTCATTGGTTGAGGTCTCGTATTTTGGGGAACATTACGTGGGGGAAACCTGAATGCGTTATGAGGTTGGTAGTTAGGCGGGGGTGCGCGAAACATTTGTTGCGTACGACTGGGCAAGCGTTGTTGAGTGTAAGCATTTGGATGGAAAACAGGGTTTTGCTGCTGCTGCATCATGGGTCTCTGCCAGCTAGATTGGGGTTGCACAAAATTATATGGTTTTGGCTGTGAGAAAGGAATTAAAGGTTGTACCTTCTGCATCGCAGCTGTCTGTTGGTGCGGGGCTGAATTACCCCTCTTATCAAAGTTTTCATTACGTTGATGAAGGTACATAACATTTATTTCTTCCTGAACAAATTCCAGTGCCTTTTCAAGCGTGGGTGGTCTCATGCAACGAATGCGAGACCCCAGAGGTTCCTTAAGACCTCTTAGATAGGATTGTAATGTGAGCTTCCGATATAGCTCTCGTTTGGCCTCTATAGTGGTGCCAAGGGATTCGTGCAATGTTACATGTGTCATTATAGTACTGAAAAGGTTCTGGCACTTGTCGTAAAATTCTACAGGCGTATTGGCTCCCTGACTAAGTAAAGAAAGGTCATTATAGAGTGCTGTCTCGTCCCTTTGGTCTGAGAAATTATTGATAAGGGCATTACGGACACCCTGCCAACTCTCGGGTATTCCGTTCGAATTTATTGTTCTAGCAGCATTACCAGTAATTTTATTTAAAATACCGTTTAAGAGACACAAATTATTTAATTCCGCGCCTGCTTCGTTCTTAATATAATTTATAACTAACTGATCGCATATTCTAATGAACCTCGTAAGGACTTTCGGGTTGCCATCGAACTCTGGCACAGGGCGTAAAGCCTTATAAATTGTATCTGGGTCCATTTCGAAATAACTATAGATACTATAAAATAATTGATCTAAATTAAAGTCTATCTCTGATTCTAGAGAGTCTAAATTCCTATTTATATCTAATTCCCTATGTCGATTAATCTGCCTTGAGGAGACAGATTTGTCCGCGGATTTCCTACGATGGAAAATTTTGATGGATAGGAAATACAGGGAAGCAACACAATAGTACAATAATTTCAATGTACTTACATATACATCCTCGTTCGGTCCACTGATTGTCAAGTGTAGTCCACGGCCGCGTGCCTACCAAAGTTCGAATATCCGACGAAGCACTAGAGAGTGCAAGCAGCGACTATGCGGAGTCACTAGATTCGATTTTTAGAATATTTGACGCGCGCGCACTGCTTCGAATATCCTACCGACTGCGCCAATTATGTTGGACGCCGCCGCAGGACTCAAAAAAAACCGAAAAAGATTTAAAACAATTTAATTTATGAAGTAAAGAAATTACAATATAATCCTTATTTCTAATTAAGTACTATGCTCGGTCGATGTGAGAACCAGAGTGAAGCAGGGGCCGCGACGCCGGTCGCGGTTTCCACGAGGCGAAGATGCACCATCGGCAAATCAGGCGGGTTGCATGTGGCAATCGCTGCTTCACGGAAAATGCCAGGCGGCCACACGGCTTGCATGTAGATTGCTCAACATATGTGTCACTCGATGTTTCCACGGGAGATGCAATGTAGGCATGTTTCATAGTTACAGTTCATCTAACAAACTTATGACTATTGTTAGTAAACACAGAGATAAAACATAAAAACACACATTATTTCGCTCGAGGCGCCGCCGATTACCCCATCACCTCACCACAACCTAGACGACTCATTGAGTTTAGCCGCAAACGTTTTCAGGATGCTGTTAGGACTAGAAAGCAGTCTAGTCTTTTTTCGCATCACAGCAAAAAAGTCGTCTACTTCCGCTTGAGCAAACATCGACGATGCGCTACAATGTCGCGGTAGTCCCAACAGCATCCTGAAACCGTTATTATATTGAACACGCAGGGTGCCGAGTGCCTTCTGCGTATAGTTAACCCACAGACCACCTCTATAAAAGGATTGACAATACGCCTTGAATAAAGTTATTTTGGCTTCCTCACTACAGCGGGCGAGTCTATGTGCCAAGATATTACATTTGGCAGCCAACTCCCAATATCAGTTTGGTTTTTAAGATCCTCCGCCAAGTAATGTCCTACATATTTAAATCAGCACACCCTCTTTAGTGCCACCTCATTTAGATTAATTCTAGGTTCATAAAACATCACTCTACCGGGGATCCCAAAGACCATAAATTCACGCTTGACATAATTGTATGTAAGGCCGTGAGTACTCGTATACAGCTCACAAAACCGAAGGAGCTCCGCAATAGAGTCCGCCGTTGGATCCAGCAGCACCATATCGTCAGCATAATAATTAATGTTATTTACGCTGTTGAGTGTTGCCGTCAATACGACATCCGACAGGCTTACTGCTGAGTCCAACGATCAGCTCGTTTACGCACAGGTTGAAGAGCTTCGGCGGGGTCAAACTCCCCTGCCTCACCCCGCACTCCAACCTGTACGCATCCGAGAGAGTCCCTCCCCACCTCACATTATTTTGCTGGTTCGTGTACCAGCACTTTAGCACACTTATCAGGTCCGTATGTACGCCTGCCTTCTCGAGCTTGTCCCAGAGAATATTATAAACCACCAGGTCAAAAGCTTTAGAGAGATTAAGAAAACTGGCTTGCCTCTGTCTGTGTAGTATCGGACAGTCTACTTAAGACATAATATGGCGCTTTCTGTGGAAAGCCCTGGCCTAAAGCCGAACTGAGCGTCGTGCAGGTCTAAATATTTGTCCAGCAGACTGTCCTTAGCAACAACAATTATTAATTAAAATACCAAACCTTAGCAACAACAATTATTAATTAAATAAGATAATTATTCCTACTACAGTTTCATTCAAACTGACTGAGTAAACGCATTGAAACAAATGCGTTGCCCCTGTTCAAAGGTGCCTCCTTCTCCCCTACTTGGTACTTGGTGTAAGTAGGGGAGAAGGAGGCACCTATTAATAATATTTACAGAGTTTTTACTTTGAATTAAAGGTGTGGTGACTGATGGGTTCATTTAATTATTTGATACTGTTTTGTTCACAGATACGCGGGAATATGTTGTCCAAGTGATATGGTGGATGTGAAATCGAATTAGCGAGACTCAGGTCACGTCTTCGTTATGTTTCTATTATAGTAAGAATAGCTCGTGTGACTGAATGGAACTAAATGTGATTCAACATTTATTAGCATAGGTGCTACTTGATTTGTGCTATACGCCAATGTCCTTCATCGTAACAACTTTTGTACCTTTAAAATAAATTATTTTTAATTATTTGTGTACTTTTAATTACGAGTCTTAATAATTCAGAAAAGTTTTCCAGGGGTTCACACAAAGCGTTACTCTTCTACTTTTGTATAGTGAACGGCAATGGAGTGGAATTCACTGCCTGCGGATTTACTCCCTGAACGCTATAACTTGAGCCTTATCAAGGCGAGAGTCAATAGGCATTATCTAGGTATACACGCTCCATCGTCGACCTCATCGTTACTTTCCATCAGGTGTCATGCAGGTGAAATGCGCACTTTATACTATGCGCACTTTATAGGCGCTAGTCTAACTATTAAAAATAATTATACTAGCGCCACCCTTTTATAGCTCAATTAAATGTCCCTTTTTATGTATTCGTGCTTAATCATTATTGTTTACCAATTTAACAAATGCGGTCCAAGTAGTAATGGTAGGAACCAATTGCAAAGTGCTTTGTGGGTATGAACTTAATCCATGAGTGTTGCGACTCCTATCACACCCCGGACACTCCATACAACGATCGAAAGTTATTTACCTACTTACTACATACAGCAAAGCGCTATCTGTACACACGCAAATGTGTGCGTGAACGATGCAGTAAAACCATTTCCGGAAATCCGGAATTCGAAATAGTAATTAATAAATTTTCACAGTAAAATAAATAAATAAATTAATATTCGGTGGTTTTAACAACTCTATGTTGCTGCTTGTAGCTATATTAAATAGTAGCGTACGTAAAAACGTACAATGACGTTATTTAACATAAAGTTTCGTATTGAATAAATGAAAACTATACTCAAATATCAATGCCGTCTTTGCGCGAAAACGGCTCGTCGACAGCCTTGTTGTCGTTTAGTCAATGTGATCGTCAATGTGCGGGGCGTGGTACGATATCTAAAGCAAGGGAGCGGCGGAGAGTGTCCATTCTCGTTACTTTTTTGTTCTCTGCTCCTATTACAACTGTAGTCTTAGCCATAGCTACAATGATCTTATATGTATAGCTACGAAATGTAGTGAATGTAGTCGATGAAAGTCTATCGACTACCTACTACAGAAATATACTGCTGGGCACAGGCCCAGCAGTATATTTCATAAGCGTAAAAAAACCTGTGTTCTTTTGAATTGAACTTTTCATTTTTGAAAATTCATACATACATGTTTAGCAGTATGTGTATAAAAAATAAAAATAGGAGACATACATTAAGGGCGCATTTATTCGACACGAATTTCATAGCGCACACCCCGCGCGGCCGCCGCACGGTAGCCGAGCGAAGTCCGCGTTGCCGGCCCCCCGCCGCCCTGGACGTGCATCGATCGTGATTAGAGATGGGTTTTTATCCGATAAATATACGTCAAAGAATAAATATACAGTAAATACCCGCTTTTATTTACTGAGTATTTATCCTAAAACATGGATAAATATATTTTTGTGTTTTTTATAATAAAATTCATTAGAATTCATTTTTATTAAATAATTACGTGCGAGTACTTCTCATTTTGCCATTGTTTTATGTAAGGGCGCTCCCTCACCGGCGAGTATTCGCTTGTGAAGATTAGTTTTTGAGCATTACATTACAAACTACCTCCTTCACCGGCGAGCATTCACATGAAAAGATTCGATTAGGCTGCGATTCCACCAGAAATGTGCGTGTTAGCAAGGCGTGCGTGCGAGTGCCTTTGAGTGCGTGCGAGTGCCTCTGAGTGCCCACGAGAGCCCGCGAGTGCCTTTGAGTGCCCACGAGTGCTTTTGAGTGCCTTGAATAATGCGTTTCAGAGCCCGCGAGTGCCTTTGTTTGCTAGCGAGTGCCTTTGAGTACTTTTGAGTGCCTTTGAGTGCCTCTTTGTATTAGAATTAATTATCGTTTAAGTATTTCCAATGAAGTCTGTACAGTTTTTTAAAATAAAATATTGAACAACCAAAAGCCCTGATATTCTACATACGAAGCTGAACAACTGTATAATAACGGACTAACTTAGCAATTTGAAAAAAAAAATCCATGCAAAATGTTAGACAGCTGTTTAATAATGTGTGTAGAGATTTTTTTAACAAACTATGCATTGTGCATTCTTCGCCTTGTCCGGGTTTGGTGAGAGAGCTATTGCTGAATTTTAGGTAGAAAACACGATTTGACAACTGGGAACACTGAATTTCTCCTTCTGCCTTCCGATTGGTCGCTGGATCCTTTCCACCATGCTGCTCAATTTATTTACTCAACAATCCTTGCATTCTTTGTCTGTCTGAAACATGGTTAAAGCCAATTCCTTTAGAGTTTCTGGATTTTCAGTTCTTCAAAAAGACAGATCTGATGGGTATGGTGGAGTCGCCATACTTGTTAAAAATTCTCTTTCCTTTCAGTCTTTTCCCTTACCTTCTTTCAGCGATGTCATTGATGCCGTCGCTGCTATTATTAATAATATATGTATTGTATCTTTGTATATACCACACCCAACCTCTCTGAAATTAAGAACTTAATTCCTATTCTTCCAAAACCATTTCTTATTCTAGGTGATTTCAACTGCCAACACCGTTCTTGGGGCAGTTCTTTTTATACATACTAT